CACACGAACACGCTCCCTCTTACATCTCGAACACACCAACTCACAGGATGAGGTCATCAGGTCAGAGGTTGTTGGTGATACCCTGCACCCAATTGAAATCTCGTGGGGATCAGTCGTTCCGCTTCAAATTCTGCACCCCAACTCTGGAATGCACTGTCCCAGTCTATACACAGCCTAGATTCTACGATGCTGATAAAAAAACATCTGAAGATATTCTTTAACGAACAGGCTTTTAGCTAGTTGTTAAGAGTTTTTCAGGGAAGGTCTTGCATAATACTAAGAGACAAAGCAAGACGTTTACTGCATCCATTACAACAGCATGGTTTTGTTGGAGAAGAGCTGTACTGGCCTGCCTGCAGTCCAGACTTTTAACCAAACATTTTCATTTGGTTAGAGGTCTGCAGTCCAGACCTATAAACAAATTGAAATGTTTGATGAATCATGAAATGAAACATCTGGCAAAGATGACCCAGGACTGTTGAACAGCTTGTCTGATGAACCATTTATCTGACCAAAACCATCTTTATGCATATCTGCAAACTCAGAAGGGATTAAAACGGTGACAAACTTAGTGCTTGTGATGGGGGTGGGGGGGGGGGGGTGTTATTGAAAAATGTACATAAAACTATGCATTTTCCACCCATTTGCAGTGCACTGTATAATCGGTAAATCTCTGTTCAGGTTTCTCTAGCTGAGGATAAAACGGCATATCTACATCACAGATCTGGTTCTCTACATCCAGCGTAGCAGGGTCAAACAGACCTCTGTGTGTTTATCCCTGTGGAGTTGGGCTTTGTCATCACACATTGAAGTTATAGGCACTGACACTGGGAACAGTGTGACCCACTTCTCTCTGACCTGGAAACACTCCGCAGGCTGACCTCGAGTCAAACGCCAACACAAGATGCATCAAGTGAGAGATGTAGAGGACTGCAAATAAAATCTAGGCTAATCATAAATTATTTAAAGCTAAAATGAAAAAATGAATAAATAAAAAAGTAGTACAGGGGTCAGCAGCAGATCCTGAAACACACAGCAGCTTTCACACCATATTCAGAGTGCAAAAGGCTGGAAAACCCACAGGAGAATAGAAAAGTTAAGTGAGGAAAAAATGGTGGTATTTTCTTCATTATTAATCCATGTATCTCATCGCCACTTCAGTAACAGAGTGCCCTAAGCCCACAGTGACAATCAAAAATTATCTGACATTAAAGAACAAAAAGGGAGCTCTGCAGTCAAGACAAGTGATTGACTGCTGTGCTGCATTTCACATAGGAAAAATGAAAATAAGTTTTGGATGCAGGCATTTGAAGTTAGCCCAGTTATGTGAGGACAAAGGAAAAGCATGTGCTGGGTTCCAGCCAAGTAGTTCCATATGGGTGTAGAGTTCACTGGGTCCAGGTGGTATGTGGTAGTAAACATCAAAGAGAGGTTCCCCATGGATCTACTGCCCCCCGATGGTCAAAGTCATACAGTGCATGAGGAGGACTCACTAACACAGTTACTGAGAATAAAGACTTTTCTTTGCACATAAAAGCCTTTACCGAAATAAAATCACCCATAGATTCATCTGTTGGTCTTGCGCTCTACACGCACAATGTTTCAAGCCATGTTTTGGCTCCTCAATGTTCGTTGTAGCCATTTACAGATATTAAGCCAACATTTGGTGTGTAAGTACTTGAGACTGATCCTGAGCTCTTACTGACTGCACATGATCTGCATTTGAAACTTTGACAGAAACTACCAGAGACAACTCTGTATGTTTGTAAGTAATGTACCAATGGACAAATTTTGAGGAAATTTTCAGATAATAGACATTAATTGTTACACGCTGTCTGGAGATGTAGAAAAAGAAATGTGATTCTCTTCACATTATGGGAATATGTGGGAAGACAACGACAGCGGGAGGAAGGTCTTGGCTGTGGCCGCAGCCGCTACAATTATTGGATAGCAGGAGTAGCTCATCAACCATATGAGGTAATGTTCACTATGTCAGAACTTATTCAGCAAATATATTTCCATCGCCCTTTTGTGCATTAACTCTTTTTTTGGAAAATCCAGAAACCATCTCTAGCGATCATATAAACTTTTGCGAAATTGAGGAAGTTTTTGCAAATTCGGCTGTTTCCAACCACCTTTTCTAATGTGATGTTTTGAAATGTGCATAAAAAATGTTGCTGGAAACACAGATATTGAGTCATCTTCGTTTGTCTATTCATAACTGTTACATAGCATGCTCAAACCTGCGTTTTATCCTTTCTCTATCACAATGATTGATGAATAAATGAAGGTAATATCAATGATCAATTACAGCTACAAATCAATATGATTTAAAATAACAATAATGAATAAAATAACAATTTACCCTTTCAAATCAGATAATTACCACTGCTGTGGCTTGCAGTAATGTAATCTCACAGTTGTACATAATTAGCTCACATAGTAAAGAACTTTCCTGATCTTCCCTCTGTGGGTGTGTTTGTTCCAATGATGTTTCACTAAATTAAAATGTGAGGATTGAGATGTAAAAATATACCCTTTTATTGTCCAATATGCTCATGTGCTGAAGTTTCTACAGCTAAAACCTTCTAATTATTGTAACCTGTGTTTGTGGACATGTCTACCTACTGACAAAGTGATGGCAGACTTTTTGTTATTCATTTTGCTCCACATCAATGATAAGTGATAAATAGGATTGCCTTAAAAAAACACTCAAATTTTCCCAGTGTAGCTGCTGAATGCTCCTAAATTTTATTCATTTTTCTTCAGTACTGTATAAAGAAGATGTAGGAACTGGTAGCTTTATATCATTTTGGTTAAATTAGACAGAGCAGTTGTAGGTCATAATTTAAAATTTAGAGATATTGCTTGATCAAAAAACTGCAGAACTCTATCAGGATAAAACAATATCCTGTACCAGTGTGCATTTTCCTGCATGTATCAGGTATAGCTGGTCCAGGGTCATAGAAACTCCCACACCCAAATTCACACATGGTCACAGCAGCCCTCAAATCAAACACATGCCAGAGATTTGGGACAATAAGTTCTTTCTGGACTTTGTTCCTTCAGGTTCCAACTTAGAAAACTTTTGTGTGCTGTGACAGTAAGAGTGAGTTTAGAAGATGAAAACATGATGTCAGTGAGACAATGTGAGCAGAGTTCTTAATGTTTTCCAGGAGCTGATTGCACAGATCTGGTATATTTCTTGTCAAAAGCTTTGAGTTTTTCTTTAGGTTAAACCTAAATCAGTAAATTTGTATTGTTTGCTACAAAAAGCCTACTTGGACAGTTGTACAGAGAACTGGGACTGGCCAGTCTATGCCCCCTTAAAAACAAAGTCATTTGCCCAACCCTACTTCAAAAAATAAAAAAATTAAAAACTGGGCAAGTTCATGATTCCACATCTATTTGTTTTTGCTGTAAAGAAAATATTTACAAAAATTTCATTAGCTGAATTTCAGGAAAAAGTAAAACAGTAAACAGTAAAAGCATCAAAGGAAAAAGTCCAATATGAGAAACCTGAGCTTTCTAAAGACACTCAGGCACAGCTCATCTGTGGCCACGACACCACTCTGTTTCAGATTTACAGCCTCATTTATAGCAAATAAACAACACCATCAAAGCTAAGTTTCATGTTCAGAGAAAAACTGAGGCAGAAGCTTGCTGAACAAATATTCATATACATATTTTTTAATATCTAACATGACATGAGAACAACATCTGTAGGCATAGTGTTGAAAACAGCTGTTGCCAACTCAGCTATGTGGCCCCTGACCTGGGTTTTTGGCCACTGAATGGAGGCTTGTGAATTCCCACCCTTGTCAGAACCTTTACAAGCCTGTGGAGCCTTGCCTCAGCCCCCCTTGACCCCATCATCACCCTTGCCCGGTGCATGCACCGAAGCATCCTGGGAGCAGCACAGGGCCCACAGAGAGGGAGAGAGCCACTCTGGCAGCAAGCCCACCTCGTCAAGTTTACAACCCAATCAGGCTCTGCTCATAAATCCCTCTCTTCTGCTGCAACAAACGGACAATGCTGGCATTCAGTGTGTGTGCAGGTTTAATGCTTCCTCTCCAGCTTCCTTCCACTGCCTAGCGACACAACCCCCTTTTCCTCCTCTTTCTTCTTTCTCCTCTTACAGGTTTATAAAGGGACAATGTGAAAGCACATATTGAAGAAGAGCTGCCCACCAACTGGTCAGCACAGAGTCACGACAAGGTCAGCTTTTTCTGAACTGTGCCTGACCTCTGACCCTCCCTACAGTGCCACCTAGTGCTGCTATGGCACCCATAGGAGTCTCAAGTGAACTTCATCTGAACCTGGACCTTAACATTGGACCACCGCTTCACCCCGGCCTCTGAGCCGAGCTTCCTCTGGGATGAAACGCAATACTTTTTATATTTTTGAACTTTATGATTTGTATGCCACTGGTAAAATACACACCACATATATATAT